CGGCTCAGCAACCAGTCCAAGCACACCATCCAGGGCCTGCGCGGAGCGGCCTCCCCCTCGGGCATCGCCTCCGTCATCTCCAGCATTGCAGGAGGTGGGTCTGGGGCAGGGGGAGGGGAGGGGTGGGGTGGGGGAGCATCCGGCCCTGGCATGAGCCGGGAGGCCCTGGAGAAAGGACTCCAGCATCAGCAGAGGGTCGGAGGCGCTGCCGGGCGCGGAGCATCAGAGGGACGCCGGTTTCGACCAGCGCCTGGGTCGGGCTTCAGGGCGCTGAACCTTTGTGGGCGCAGCTCCACCCGCTGCACTGCTTGTGATCAATCCCGGCTTCATCCATGCTTAATGCCGCCACAGATTTCCCTTTCCCACCCCCCCATGCACAACAAACACCCCATGCACACAAAACTCGCTGATGCCTGGGAAAGGAGCTGCCGCGTCGTCCCCCCCCCAAGTGCTGTTGTCCCACCTTCCTGCTTGCGGGGCTGAGGGGGGCCGAGAGGGGCTGCCATTCCGGGCTCTTCTCTAACGGTGCTCCTTCTTGTCTCTTTCATGCTGTGGCTGCAGAGGAACAGCAGAGAGGTACAGGGGGCTCCCGGGGGGGGGGTAGCTGGGCCGGGTAGAGCAGAGCAGGGGGCACTTTCTGGGCTCGGGAGCCCTGTGAAACGAGGGGGGGGCAACCTCCCCCTGCCCCAGCGAAGGGCTTTAAAATTATGAGCTGCCTCTCTCCTCTTTGCCAACGCTTTCCCCAGCCCTGCAACCTGTTCTTGGGATGGGAGAAATCTGGGCTGGGGGGGCAGCCCCCTCCCTGGGACATTGCCCGGGAAGCAGGTGCCCAGTAAGAGCCGAGGCCGACGTTTGGTCCCCCCAATGCCTGGGGGAGGGGGGATGCTGCAATCCTTGGTCGAAACGGCTGCCCAGGCCATTCCCTGGTCTCCGACGGTCGTTGGCCGAGGCTCTTCCAGCCAGCCCTGCCCAGGGCGGCCTCTGCAGGGAGGCCGCCTCTGCTGATGGCCACCTCCGTCTCTCCTGCAGGGGTGGGGGCCAGCCAGGTGGTGGCCGGGGGTTCTGGCCCCGTGCAGGTGAAGGACTCCCCTCTGCTGCTGCAGCAGATCGAGGCCATGCAGCTCTCCATCAAGCACCTCAAAAACGAGAATAACCGGCTGAAGGTGAGAGGCCCGGGTGGCTGCCGGGGGCCCTGAGAGGCCTGGAGCAAAAGCTTTCCCACCGGGGGGAGGGGGTGGCCTTCCCTCTCCCCCCACCCTACCTGGGACTCTCCTTCCTGTGCCGTCCCTCGCCCTCCCAGAAACGGGGGAATCGGGGAGCTGCCGAGTCTCTTGAGCTGCTCCCAGCGGTTCCTGCCCCCACCTTCTTCCCCAGGGTGCCCAGATGAGGAGGGAGCTGGCCTCGCTGCCCCCCCTGCACGTCCCCAAGCTCTCTCTGGCCAAGGACAGGCAAGGGGACGAGGTGGTTTCCAGCTCGTTGTACCGCAAGACCAGCCGGCTGCTGGAGACCCTCCACCAGATGAGTGCCAACGCCCAGGTGGTGGACATCACGCGGCGGAAAGCAGGTGCGCCGGGGGGTCTGGGAGCAGCGGCAGGAGGGCCCCTCCCCTCCCTCCTCCCCTTCACCGCTCTCCCCTTCCTCCTGCAGTGGGCAGTCCAGCAGCTCAGCTCCTGGAGCAGACGACCCGCCTGGCGTCCCTGAGCGAAGCCCTGGAGAAGCTGAAGGTAGTCCCTGGGAGGGGGGGTGTCTCTGAGGGTGCAGCTCCTGCCAGAGGGGGGGCTGAAAGGTGGGCAGGGTGGGGGGCAGCTCCTCGCTCTCTCTCATGGCCAAGGGTTCCTCTGGCCTCTCTGTGGGAAGCCCCCCAAAGTTTTAGATCAGGGGTCTCCAAGCTTGGCAACTTATTTAAGACTTGTGGACTTCAACTCCCAGAATTCCTCAGCCGGCCTAGCGGGATCTGTGGGGCTCCCGGCTGAAGTCTGGGGGCTGACGTCCACAAGTCTTAAAAGTTGCCAGGTTTGGAGTCCCCCCTTTTAGACCTTGGAGCTGTTCTGGAGTGACCGCTGTGCTTCTCTTCTGCTCCAGGATGAAGTCAGGAAGGAGACGATCCTGCAGCACCCCGGGGCCAGCATTCCCACCGACTTCGGCACCTTCCCCTCCGTGCCCTTCCTGAAGGTGGGGGCTCTGGCTGGGGCCGGGGAGGGAGGCAGCGGGTGAGCTGCTGCCCACCCTTCTGGCATTCCTCCGCCTGCCCTTCTCTCCCCCCACAGGCCAAAGAGGAGGAGAAAGACAGCGCCGTCTACATCGGCCGCGTGACCTTCCCCTGCCAGCCGGGCCACGGGCAGCTGCACAAGCTGGTGCTGACGCCGGAGCAGCTGCACAGGCTCCACAGCCGCCTGATCTCTTAGGAGGGCCCGTCTTCCTCGGCTGCCTCTTGGGTGCAGGTGGCAGAGCGGCCCTTGGCTCTGCCGGGGACTCTGCGCCGCCTGCCACACACACCCCAACTGGCACCACTGCTCCCCTTCCCAGAGGCCAGGGGTGTGTGTGTGTGTGTGTGAGAGAGAGTCTTTGTGGCGACACAGAGGAGGATGCTCAGTCAAGGGGAGGGTCGCTTTCCTTCAGAGGAGATGCTTTGTTTTGCGCTCTCTTCACAGCCCCAGCAGCTGCTGGCCACGTTTCTGTTGCTCTGCCGTTCTGGAAAAGGATCCCAAACAGGCTTCCTGGTGGGAAGAGCCCAGGAATCTCCAGGCCCTACAGAGCAGGCCCTTCCTTGCATGTTGACGTCCTTGGAGGACTGGAGATAAAATCTATACACAAATAAAGCTGTCTGGAACCCAACCTGAGCTGGGGCATCATTCAGCCCCTGGAGGCCTCCCGCTCTCCTTCGGCTGCTCTTCCCCCTTTCCTGGCCCAAGCAGGTCTCCTCGGCTGGGGATGCAGCAAAGGGCCTTTTACGTCTGGTCTCCCCACACTCAAGTGTGACTCAAGTGGAGCCTGTTCGTGCCCCTGAAAGCACCTAGTTGCCATTACAGTGACAAACGGTGGCCTAGCCCGGTTGATGTCTTTGCTGCAAGGGCCTGGGGCTCCCATGGGCTTTTTTATACACGGGAGCCGGTTGGGAGGGGGTGTGTGTGTTGTGTCGAACGGACCTTAGGCCACTTTCAGATGGCTTCTTTATGCCAACCACAGAAGGCAGCCAAAGGCAGCATTCAGCATTCCTAAGCCCACCTCACTTCCAGCCAGAGCTGCCCACGAGATGCCTACTTATTTTGAATTCTCAGGATAGACCAGGGGTAGGCAACCTTGGCTCTTTTATGACTGGTGGACTTCAACTCCCAGAATTCCTGAGCCAGCCGTGCTGAGGGGAAAGGGAGACGTTTCCAAACTGAGCCAGGCTGGCTCAGGAATTCTGGGAGTTGAAGTCCACAAGTCATAAAAGATCCCAGGTCGCCTACCCTTGGGATAGACAGAGGCAGCAGGGCCCTAACTGAGGCTGCTGGAAAGGGCTCCGTGGCCGCCCTGTTCCACAGAGGCCGGGCCCTCAAGCCCCCCCAAGGGTACCAGGGCCGAGACAACAGATCGGCTCTTTTCAGCTGCTTTAGGCACCATTGAGCGTATAAACACTTGTGGTGCTTGGCTGAGTGTGATTGGCCTTGGAGGGGAGGGGACCCTTGTTCCTGGGTCACTAAGTGTGCAGCAGGGACAGGCTGGACCCTCCCAGGATCTGAGGGGGGCTGTAGCTCCTGGACCCCAGACCCACCCAGCGCATTTCACTTTGCCCGATCCCATCCCCCAGCGCCAGCGTCTCAAGGGTCATTTCATTCACCTCTGTGCAGGCTTCTCTGCATTGCTTACAGCAGGGGTGTCAAACTCAATTTCATTCAGGGCCCCATCAGCATTGTGGTTGCCTGCGGGGGAGGGCGGGGGGGCAAGGTGGGTGTGGCCTGGGTGGGCATGGAGTGGGTGTGGCCTACTGGGTGGACATGGCCAGCTCTACATCATTCGCGTCCAGGGTGCCTGGGCAGGAGTGGGACAGAGGTGAGGGTCTCTGGCAGAAGGGGGGGGGGACCAGGGCAAGCACCAAGGCATGACCCATTTCTTCATTCCTCACAAAGGGTGACCCCTCCCCAGCAGGCACCCAGGGGGTGGGGCTGACGCGGCAGGGGCCGGTTCCTCACTGTTTCTGGACGGCCTTGTGGAGCTAAGACTGAATGCGTTTCAGCATAGATGGCCACAAAATTGTACATTGGCTCCCTCCGGCCGGCTTGGGCCAGGGCCAAGGCAGCGGGGGCCGTTCCTTCACTGTTTCCAGGATGGCTTCATGGGCCACATGAAACCACTTCGTGGGCCGCACAGGGAGGCCTTGTGTTTGACATGTCTGGCTTACGGCTACCAAGACACAACAATACAGTGGAAGTTATAATTTACCCTTTAAAAGTCCCCCAAATGGTCATGTAGGATGGCTGGGGAAATGCAGCAAGCAGCTGGCGTGTATCATTGGAAAGAAGGCTGAATTTGGAATTAGTTAAAGAGTTAAAATTGCCTTTTCCCTCCCTATTGGGACTATATTTCATTATTTCCCTTTTTGGAAAGATGTTGGGGCAAATTGTTCCCTTATCCGGATAGCCTCTGATCTGCAGAAGACATTTCATCTTCAAATAAGACTCATGTGGCAGCTTCGTCGGACGCAGCGCTGGGCTTTTGAGGGCTGCTGCTCCCATTTCTCAGCTCTCTTTGGGGGAAGTTGTGGCCCAGCCGTGTTCTGCCTGGACGGCTTTTTGTCAGGGCTTCTTTCATCAGCCCGAGGGCTACACGTGGAGTAAACCACCAATGGACGGCAGTGCCCAGAACCGGGTGCAGGACTCCCAAGTGGGGCCTTCCCCCGATCTGGACGCGAATCCTGCGCCAGAGACCCAACTGGCCTTTCGGGCAGCTCCATCCCGCTGCTTGCGGCCATCCATCCCGGACTTGGGAAGAAGAGACCGGGCGGCCCTTTGTCCGAAATGGCACAACAGGGCTTCTTGCTGGAGCAGCGGGTTGGACTAGAAGACCTCCGAGGTCCCTCCCGGCTCTTTTATTTTCCGGCATCAGAAGCCGGACTGGCCCCCCCCGTTAACCAACCCCCCCCCCCCGCCGGCCTTGCGCCATCTCTGAGCTTGGCTCTCCCTCCCCCAAGGGGGAACCGCCTGGGCGCCATGGCAACGGGGGGTGCCCCCAGCCCTTCCGCCAGGTCTCCCCCCCTCTCTCGCTCCGGGTCCGCCGGGGGCTGCGGCGCCACGGGATTCCTCCAGGCGGCCCGCGGTCCCTCGCCTCCCCGCCGCCGAGCAGAGGAGAGGCGGATCTCGGCGGATGCGCGAAAGGCCGCGGGGGGGCGGGAAGGAAGGCCCTCGGCCGGCCCCAGGCGCGGGGTTTCCCGGCAGGCGCCGCGCCCGGAAGGCCGGCGCCCATTGGCCGGCGGGAGGGACGCTCCCTCGGCTGGCTCCAGCGCTGGGCGCGGCCGAGAGGCCGGAAGGGGCGGGCTGCCCGCAGGAGCGTTTCCGGCTGCGTGGGGCGGGCGCGTGGAGCCTTTTCGTCGGGAGCCGCCATGGTGAGCGGGCGGGTTGAGGGAGGCGGGCGGGTCTGCGCGTCCGGCCTTTGGGGTCCCCTCTTTGTCTCCCCCCCTTTCCCCTCCCCCCAAGGCTGACGCCCTTCTGGTCCGCGCCCCGCAGGTGCAGCTGCACGTGCTGTTCGAGCACGCGGCGGGCTACGCGCTCTTCGCGGTGCGGCCGACGGAGGAGGTGTCGCTGCTGCAGCCGACGGTGGCGGAGGACGCGCTGAGCCTGGGCCGCTTCCTGGCCCTGGTGCGCCTCGAGGCCTTCTCGCCCTTCCGCTCGGCCCAGGCCGCGCTGGAGAACATAAACGCCGTCTCGGAGGGTGAGCGCGGAGGGGGGAGGGGGGGGGGAGGGGGGGCGGCGGGGGGGTTGGGGGCTCTCCGGGCTGACCGGCCCCTCCTCTCCGCCCACCGCGCAGGGCTGCTGCACGAGGACCTGCGGCTGCTGCTGGAGACGAGCCTGCCGGCCAAGCGGAAGAAGCTCCTGCTGGGCGTCAGCGACCCCAAGATCGGCGCGGCCATCCAGGAGGAGCTGGGCTGCCCGTGCCAGGCGGGCGGCGTCGTGGCCGAGCTCTCGCGAGGTGAGCGGGCGGGCGGGGGGGGCGGAGAGTGGGGGGCTCCCGTTGGGACGGGGGGGGCAGCGTGGCCGGAGCCCTGACGCCCCTTGCCCCCCTCCCCCGCAGGGATCCGGCTGCACTTCCACAGCCTGGTCAAGGGCCTGAGCGCCCAGGCCGCCTCCAAGGCCCAGCTGGGGCTCGGGCACAGCTACTCGCGGGCCAAGGTGAAGTTCAACGTCAACCGGGTGGACAACATGATCATCCAGTCCATCAGCCTCCTGGACCAGCTGGACAAGGACACCAACACTTTCTCCATGCGGGTCAGGTGAGCCGGCCGCCCTTCCTTCCTTCCTTTGGGGGGAGGGGCTCTGCAGCTGGTCTGGCTGGACCTGCACCTGCCTCCCCCCCCCCAGACCTTCCTGGCACCTTAGTCCCTGTGCTGGGGGGCTGCCGGGGGGGGGGGGAAGGCCAGGCCAGGCCGAGCGCTGCCACTTTCCTGCCTCCTTCAGCTTACCACAGGCAGCCGGGCCACCACCGCTGGCTGTATAGGAAGGGGAGGCACAGCAAAGGGCCCTCCGTACACCCCAGCCGGGCTGCCCCGTGCCTGAGCTGTTTGGTTTGTGCGGGCACAGGCTCCCCTGGCACAATGGGGGAGGAAAGGCACATAAGGCGCGGCTCCCTTGTGTGTCACACGCTTGTCTCTTTGCGGCGTAGAGAGTGGTACGGCTATCACTTTCCAGAGCTGATCAAGATCGTGAGCGACAACTACACCTACTGCCGCTTGGCCAAGCTAATCGGGAACCGCAAGGAACTGAGTGAGGAGAGCCTGGAGGCCTTGGAGGAGGTCGTCATGGACAGCGCCAAGGCCCAAGCCATTCTGGACGCCTCCCGCTCTTCCATGGGTCAGTGCCCAAGGGGGAAGGCTAGCGGCATCTCACTGGGGTTGTGTCAGAACGTGGCCGTTTCGGCATAAGCCTTCCAGGAGCGGTCACTAATTTACATGACCCCTGAAATGTGGTCAGTCTGCGCATCACACTATGGATTTTAAAGAGAGTGCTTTTTGCTAAGTGGAATTTTCCTCCAATGGGATTTTCCCAGGAAACATAGATAGGGCAGCCTAGAAAAGTCAGTGCCCTCCTAACCATACCCAAGCATTCCGAATTTGTTGGTGGTGTCCATTTTGCTCTCCGAGTTCATGGTGACCTAACCCTAACCCTATAGGGCCTATAGGAAAGTGTGCAGCTTGTCCTGTAACAGAGAAACGTAGGCGAGGGGGCTCAACTGTTGGCCTATTTGTGCGTGCGTGCACAAACACAGACAGACCAAGAGCCAGAGTTCCCTGTGTTCCAACTTCAGCTGTAATACAAACCACAGTTGTGGGTCCTTTGTAGGCCGTGTGCTGCATCCTGACTAAAGCCAAAGGGGAGTTGCTGGCCCTCCGTCGGGGTTCTTATTTTTTCCCTTAACTCTGGCCGCGTACAGGAATGGACATCTCGCCCATTGACCTCATCAACATCGAGAGCTTTTCCAGGCGGGTCATCTCCCTCTCCGAATATCGCAAAGGTTTGCAGGAGTATCTCCGCTCCAAAATGAACCAGGTGGCTCCCAGCCTCTCGGCCTTAATTGGAGAAGTGGTGAGTGGTTTGGGGCCTTCACTTACTTTTGCGTACCTGCCTTGTGCGGCGAGGGCTCTCTGGCCACAGACATGATGTGCATTTAGAATCTGTCAATCCACTGAATCTCAGTGCTGAAACCTACGAATGCTGATCTGGGCCAGAGAAAGGGCTTAAGCAGCGTTCGGCCCGTGGGCTGCTCCTTGGGGCTGGATGAAGATAGGCAGGCAGAAGGAACAAGCCTCACTTTTGCTCCCGACCCAGGCAGGCTGGCCGGCCAGGAGCAGAGGGGGTTAATTTGGGGTTTAGGACAGAGAAGGCTTGGGGGGGCTGAGCACTGGAGTTCTTGTTGTCTTTTTGCCTCTGCGGTCATATTGTTTTGATCAGAATTTAATTTTTTTAATCGCATTAAAGAAATAAATCTGTTCTCTCCCCGCAGGTGGGGGCTCGGCTCATTTCCCACGCAGGCAGCTTGACCAATCTGGCCAAGTACCCAGCCTCAACAGTTCAGATCCTGGGGGCAGAGAAGGCCCTCTTCAGGTAACCCTCCAGGCTGGCTGCTGGAGCGCTGGCACGCAGCTCCTGGCAGAGGAGGTGGACGTGGACCAGGCACTGCTGGTCATGACTCTCCTGGCATGCAGCCAGGCTTTCCCCCCCCCTCCCGTGGGGATGGCTGAACTGCTGCCAAGGAGGTCGTCTTTATGGTTGTCTCCTGCCCCGCAGGGCCCTGAAGACCCGGGGAAACACCCCCAAGTACGGCCTGATATTTCACTCCACCTTCATCGGGCGAGCAGCAGCAAAGAACAAGGGGCGCATCTCTCGCTACCTGGCCAACAAATGCACCATCGCATCCCGCATCGACTGCTTCTCAGGTGGGCTGCGGAAGCTTCCAGAGCGCCCCCACCACCACCTCCCCTCAGCCAGGGGGCCTTTCTGGCTTTGCCATGATGGGTACATTTTTCGTCAGCAGCATTTCACACACAGTGAATGTTGACATCAAAATATCTGAGCAAAGCCAGCAGTGGGAGGGAGGAGCTTTTACAGTGGCAGCACTTCTGGGCGTGGTGGTGCCAGCGTTGGCGCCTTCAGCCCCGCCCTGCCCTCTCTCTCCCTTTGCAGAAGTCCCAACTTCTGTCTTTGGGGACAAGCTGCGAGAGCAGGTGGAAGAGCGCCTGGCCTTCTATGAAACCGGGGAGGTCCCTCGCAAGAACCTGGAGGTCATGAAAGAGGCCGTGGTGGAGGCGAGTGCCGAGGGGGGCTGCGCAGGCCGCGTTGTTGGGCGTGATGAGAGCTCCGAGCCTGACCAACCTTTCGGTGGAGGCCAAAGCTGATTTAATGAGCCTGATCCCACAAGCGCCCTTTGGACGCCCAGAGCCTGGCGGGGGGTGGGTGGGGGGAGTTGAGCCACGGTGACCGTCCTCCCCCTCCACAGGCTTCAGAAGCAGCAGCTGAAATCAAAAGAAAGATGGAGAAGAAGCAACGGAAGAAGCAGAAGCAGGAGAAGAAGCGCCTGGAGGCTTTGGCAGCAGCAGCTGCAGAAGCAGCAGAGGCGATGCAGAACTCGGTCCCGGAGTCTCCCGGACAGGTGGAGTCCTCCTCCCCCTTCATGGAGGGCTGGGAATGGCCAAGGCCACCAGCCTTGAAAAGCCCCAGAGCCGGGAAGGCTGCCCCCAAAATATCCGTTTGCCTTTTGTGGCGGGAGGGCTGTGTGTAGAAGAGGCACTGATGAGGTGTGTGTTCCTTCTTCACAGGAGAACGAGGTGAAGCCCAAGAAGAAGAAAAGGAAGCCCCAAGAGGTGGAGGCAGAGCCGGCCAACAACGGCCTGGCAGACGAAGAAGCGCCGTCGCCCAAGAAGAAGAAGAAGCACCGGCTGCTGGTGGCAGAGGCGCCCCCGGCCCCCCAGGGGAAGAAGACGAAAAAGAGGAAGGCCAAGGCGGAAGAAGAGGACGACGACTAGCGTGGAGGAGTCCAGCCGATGATGCGAAGTCCGTCCAGTTTTGCTTGTTTGAACGAAGTTTGGGCTCTATTTTCGCACAACCCAGAACTCTCAAGGCGACAAGGCTGCAGGCCCAGCGGGCAGAACTGCCGCAAGAGGCCCTGCCTGGGCTCTGAGGGGGGGGGGGGCAGCCATGAATGGCCGGGCTTCTTCCGAAAGGCAGAGAAGCAGGTCAGGCTGTGGCCCCCAAGAGGGTCCCATGCTGCCCCCCCAGTGGGGATGGGGCCAGCAGAAATGCCCACGGCAGAAGCAGGACTATAAACCTAAACGCTCTTTAACCCACTTGACATAATAAAATGTACTACTTTTTTATACAGCAGTTCCTCATATTCAGCCTCTTTGGGGAGGGGGGGGTCAGCTCTTGTCAGGTTGCCCTATCCGGAGGCTTCAGTCGGGCTTGAAATGGGGGGGGCTGAACTGGCAGCTTTTGCCCCCCCCCAAACAGCTGTTGCAAGGATCAGAGTGCTGCTCCATTGAGCAAAGAGGGTGGCTCACTCAGGCAGTCTTTAGGGAAAATATCCCCCCCCCCCCTGCCAAATCAAACCCCAAGCTAAGGTGCTGTTTGGGGCCCCCCGACCACAAAGGCCCAGCACTGGGCTCTTTCCAGTGTTGCCCCTACCCTAAAGCCACCCATCTTGACTGCCCATGAGGGCGCATCCCCGGGTCAAAAGTTGGCAGAGCAAATGGACGGGTGCTGCCCCTTGGGTGCTACCACTCCTTGGCCTTCTGGTTTTGGGGGGGCCCTGGGAGGAGCGGGGGCACTGCAGGCAGCTGCTTTGGGGGGGGAGTCAGACACTCCATCTTTTTCTAAGCTAAACTCAAGACAGTTGGACTCAATTGCTTCACCTTGGGCCTCAGGTGTGTGGGTTGCTGCAGCCTGCCCAGCCTTGGCCATGGGGTGTCCTGTCCTGCCAGCCCAGAAAACTGCCCCTCCTGCACCCAAGAGTCAGCCTTTTTTTTCTCGAGGTGGGCCTGCTTGCAGTCACCCGGGACCCCCTGAGCCCCAGGGGTAACAACCTTGTGGAAAGCCAGCATTATTCCTCTGCCATTGACCCAGTCACACCAGCCTTCTCTTGTAACGGAGCCAGCGGCCTCTTTTATTACATGCATCTGGGAAGTTACAACAAACTAGGAGTAAAGGAAGAAAAACCGAGCGGCCTGGAGCTGCCTCCTAGTCAGCCAGAGCGGTGATCACGGCGCGGGTGAAGTCATTGGAGGTGGCGTAGCCTCCCATGTCCGCCGTTCGCACCTGCCAAGAGAAGAGCAGCAGAGGGGCAGCCTTGGCCGGCCTCCCAGGCCCCAATCGTGGCAGTCCCGTCGCCTTCAGCCTCTGCCCCCTGGGAGCCTGGCCATGCCTGCCTGGCTAGGGACACCCCCCCCCATCTCCCAGCAGGGCAGGGCAGGGGCTGAAGGCAAGGGAAACTGCCAAAATCTCCGCTGAGAAAAATACCTGGCATTTTCAAAGGGAACGCCAAAGCCGGAGGCAGAGCTGAATTGCCCCGCTGCCTCTGTGTCTTTGCCAAAAAAAAGCCCATTTTTGAAGGCAGCATGAACTGGGGGGGGGGGGGGGGCGAAGCAGCGCACCAAATGCTCCAGAGCCCTGGAGGAATCCCAGAGTGTCTGGCAACCGTAGGAAGAAGCTGTCTGTTGTCCCAGCACGGACGGAGGAAGAGGTTCGGGGGAACCGGGCGCCTGTCAAACCAACTTCCCATTACAGGAAGTCCTCAACTTAAGAGATCAGTCACGTTTCCAATGGCAGCCCACCTGGGGAGGGGGGGTATTTACACCCCAGACCTGAAGTTCTGATGGTTGCCCCCACCAGAGTCGGAGGGCCACGCTCCGGGTGCTCGGCAGCCTAGCTGCAATGACGGCCGTTGCCGCGTCCAGAGGCCGCTGCCTGGCTGCATTTTGCAACCGTTTTGCCCCGTTTACTCCCAGGGAGCAGAGCAGCCGATCCACAGCAAACCAGGGTTTCACTTAACTGCAGTGGTTGCTTAATGACTGCCACAAATAAGCTTCTAAAATTGGACCGGTCACACGAGGACTGTCATGGCTTGCACCTGCCATGGGGAGGCTCCGTGACAGTCGTAACTCAAGGACTGTCTGTAGTGGCCCGTCTAGCCCAAGAGGAGCCCTGCAGGGGGCACCCAGACCCTCCTTCCCCCCCTCCAAGTGGGCAGCCATCACTTCTGGCAGCCATTCTTGCCCTGGGATAAAAAAAAAAGCTGGTGGGGGGTTCTCAGCCTGCCTCCCACCGTGGCCCCCGGGGCAGCCCCAAGACTGCAAGCAAACCACCCCGTCACGCCCAACGGAGCACGGGGGGGTGCCAGGCCCACAGTGGGTGGGATCCTCCGCCCGGTGCCTTAAAGGAGCTGCTCCTTCCCTCAGCACAGCCAACAGGCGGGGGGCGTGTGGAGGGGGGGTTGTGGGGGCGCTCAGACCCATTTGGGCTGCATTCCTCCTGCACCCCAAACTGCCTTCCTTTTGAGGAGAGGAAAAGCAGCCTTGCTCGCCGTTCGGCTGGCGTTCCAGCCCCCCCCTCGGTGCAATCAGTCGCTCTGCTCCCCACGGGACCCTCCCTGCTGTGCTCTCCCAGAGGACCCCCCCAACAGCAGGAGGTCTTGGCAGGGAAGCCCCGTCTCTGGCGCAAGCACATCGCTTCACCCTCCCTCGCACGAACCAGGGTGGCCCTTCCCTCCCCCCCCTCCCCGAGCTGGGCCTCCGTGCAGTCAGCCTGTCCTTCCAGCCCTGTGCCCTGCGAGGGTGGCCAGCTCCTCTCTGACCGCTGAGTGGCCTCAACTCCTTCCCAGAACACGAGATCTCCGCTGGCTTCCCTCGTGCATCAACCACATCCCGGGACTGGCCCCTTTTAGGGGATAAATGGTGCCGAGTGTTTCGAGGGAGACTGACAGCAGCTCCAGGAGCATCGGGGACGGAGAAGACTGAGCAGTCGCTGGGAGGGGGGAGTGAGGGGGGGGCTTCTCCTGGCCCAGGAGTCACCCGTTTGTTTTCTTCATCGTGGATTACCAGGGAGATCTTCCTCCTGCCAGGACCCTTTTGGCCCACCAGGACCCCCTCAGCTGCCAGGAATCAGCTGAGAGCCGGAAGGAGCAGAGCTGGCTAAAAAATCCCTTTTATTCAGACACCGGACAGAGAGTGCGGCCATAGGTTACACGTCACACCCGTGGGGGGCTCCTGAAGCCCACTCACCGCCTGTACCAGGAGGGCCCACCTGGCAATCTCTCTCTCCCCATCGCCCCATGAGCCCTGGCAGGTTCTTCCCTGAAGTCCTGGTGGTCTTCCGCAGGAGTGCAAGGGGCCCAATGGATACCACAAGGCCCATGCTCCCCAGCCAGCTCTCCTCCAAGAGCCCTCCGGGAGGCACCTTGACACACCCGCTTTCTGCCCCAGAGGTCACTTTCCAAGGGGACACCCCACTGCAGAAGGCTCCAGGCAGGGCTCCCCCGTCCCTTCCAGCTGGAGCAGACCAGACCTCCGGAGGTCCTGGAGTCACTAGAGGAGGAGGAGGAGGAGGAGGAGGAGGAGGAGGAGGAGGAGGAGGAAGGCATTCCCCAGCAATCTGGGGCTGGGAGAGGCTGCCGGGGGAGGGCCAGGGCTGCCGGGGGCAGGGGAGGGCCAGGGGGCAGCCTGAGCCTAGACCCCGTAGTGGGGGTGGAGGTGGTCAATCACAGACTTGATGAAATCCGAGGTGGTGGAATAACCGCCCATGTCCTGTGTCCGCACCTACATTCCAACACAGGGAGAGGGAGGGAGAAAAGTGGTCATCAGGCAGGGTGTGTGTGTGTGTGCAGAGGCACCGAAAGGAAATGGGACAGGAGAGCTCAGAGGCGACAGACAGACAGACAGACAGACAGCACCAGAAGCGCCCAGAAAGCCCAGCGAGGCCCGCAGCTCCTCAGCCTGCCCACCCACAGAACTGAGCCCACAGCCGTAACTGGCAGGAGAAACCGGTCCAGCCCGCTCGCCTGCCTGTGGCTGCCCCCTCCCCCAGGACCCCCAACTCCGCCTCCTTTTCTGCCAGGCCTGCCAGCTGGAAAGAAAGTGAAAGCCGCACAGAGGCTGCCCAGCGCCAAGCCCTCCAGGGCAGCCGTCGCACTGACCTTGCCCACTTTGATCACCTTCTTCACCGCATCGGAAATCATGGTGGAGTGGTGCTCCAAGCTGGGCAGGAGAGAGGAAGGATGCATCTCAGCAATGGGGGGCAGGGGCAGGGTGGCTTGCCCTTCACCATTGCCCTGCAAGGTAGGCCAGGCCAATGGGCAGGGAGCAGCCTCCGGGATATCCCGCCCAGCTGAGCCCCGCTCGGCCCAGCGCCCCCAGCTCGGGAACCTACTTCAGATGCCGCAGCATGTTGGCCGAGGAGAGCAGCATAGCCGTGGGGTTGGCGATGTTCCTCCCGACCGCCTGGGCAAAGGGGTGGCGGGCACCCTGCAAGAGGAGCAGAAGGATCCCTGCAGGGCCCCCAGCACGCCTGCTGGCCCCGACCGCCCCGAGGGAGGGGGGGCAGGGGGCGCACCCAGGCCCAGCCTCGTCCTCACCATCTCGAACACGGCAAAGTCCGCGCTGTAGCTCTCCCCCGGGACCACACCGGCCCCGCCCACCAGGCCGGCTGCCAGGTTGTCGATGATGTTGCCGTACAAGTTGGGCATGACCAGGACGTCAAACTGGTAAGGGTTCTGCACCAGCTGAAAAACAGGCGTGCTCAGCCCTCCGTGGAAGGTCCGGCTGCAGAGCCTGCCTGAGCCGGATCAGGCCCCGGAGCCCTGCTGGGCAGCCGCCCTGCGCTCCGACCTGCAAGGAATTCTGGGCAGAGCTCAGCTGCCCTCCTGGGACAGAACTCCGAGGGACCCGTGGAGGGGGAGGAGGAGGAGGAGGAGGAGGAGGTGGGGGCTCAGCTCTGAAGCCGTCCCCTCCCCCCTCCCCCCGGGGGCCTCTTAACCCTGAAGACCACTTGTCGGACGGGACCCTCCAAGACCCTGCATGTCAAAGCAACTCAAAGCAACGGCTTTGTCCGTTTCCGACCTCATGTTGGCAGGGAACGGGGAGGATCCAGTCTGGGCCTCCACGCTGCCCACGTGGCCTCCAAAGAGCAGCCCCGAGGAAGCTGCGATGCCCACATCATCAGCCCAGGTCCCACAGCCACGGAGTGCCGGGAAGCGGAGAAAGGTCCCCTCCCCCCAAGGAAGGGGTCCCAATCCGGGAGAACGGGCTCCGGGGCCTCCAGCCCCCCCCCCCGAGCAGCCCAGCCGGGCTAAAGGATGGAACTTCAGTGGCCACGTAAGAGACCTGAGAAGGTGCCACGCAAGACTTTTCCACGTGGAAATCACAGGCCTGAGAAAGTGGGGAATGGGGGCACTGAGCAGCTGGGGGCCAGATTTGGGTTTTTTTCCCCTGCAAGAACCAAAAATCACTTTTCTGCTTTCTGAGAAATTAGCTGTGCTGCCTTCACATAAAACCGGAATCCTAGAGTTGGGAGGGGCCGTGGAATCCAACCTCGGCAAAAGCCTCCCGGGGGGGGGGGGGCAGGGGGCTCTCCTGCCTCCGCTCGAAGCCCCTCAGCAAAAAGGAGCCAGAACCACTCTGGACCACCCACTCACATTGGTGGCAAGGCGAATAAGCCACCATTGCTGGGCCCACGGGGTCTGCAGGGGCCCCGCTCTGACTCCAGGATCCAACTCCAGGATCCATGGCTGGCACCCGAAGCAGAAATTTTGGGGTTCCAAACCACCAACTACCTTGCATTTTTTTCTCTCCTCTCCTCTTCAAGTAGCAAAACCAAGGGGCCGCCAAACTGCTGGAGGCTGCAGAAAAGCCGAGGTGCCCCTGGCCTCGCGGGTGTGCAGGCAGCCCCCACCCACCCAGGCCCCCTCCCCTCCCCGCGTCCCATCAGGCACGAAGCAGGCCGTCCTACCTGCATGCAGCAGTTGTCTATGATCATGGTCTCGAAGGTGATCCTGGGGTACAGCTCAGCCACCTCCTCACAGCAGCGAAGGAAGAGTCCGTCCCCCAGCTTCCTGGAAGGAGGGCAGAGACACGTCCTCACACCACCCCAGATGGCCCACAGTGTCAGGTGCTATATGACCCCCAAGGACTCCCCCCCCTTGCCAAGAATGACCCTGACACAGCCGAGAAGGCTCGGCCTGAACGAAAGGGGCCGAACGGGTCAGCTGGGGGAGCCAGGAGGCCCAGAGGGAGCAGAACTAGGAGGAATCCGGCCTTGGAAGTTGCTGAGGTGGCTCTCCTGGGCAGAGACAGGCCCACGAAGGGCAGCCTCTGACCGCCTCATGCCCATGGGTGATCCTTCTTCCCAGGCCCCAAATTAAGCAGGTGGGACGAGGCCACAAAGGGCAGAGGAAGAGGACGGGGAAGGAGGTGTGTTCCGGTGTGCCACAACTTCCCCAATCACAACATCCATATTCTTTTGACATATAGGGGTCTACATAGCACGTACTTTGGCTTGAGTCAATTTTGCTGCAAAGCAGGCGCCTCTGTGGGCCACCCAAAGCTGCCAGAGATCTGGGAGGAGGGGGGGGGTCATCTGAAGGTCTTCGCCTCCCACCCTCCCCGGATCCGCTGAGGCAGGCAGGCAGGCTCACTTACATGATGTTGGCCTTGTGTACCGCAGTGACTTTGTTCCTCCCCTTCTTGGTGGCAAAATCAAAGGCAAACTTGGCGATGCGCTGGGATTTGGCCCGCGTGATGATCTTCAGGCATTCAATGACCCCCTTTGCGCTCTGAGCACGGAGAGAGGCAGAAGCCGTTCCTGAGCCCCTCACTGGCCCCCAGCTCCCCTGGGCCCTCCTCTCCCTGCACTGTCTCTGTCGGGCTGGCCACTAAGCAGAGCAGGTAGCCCAGCAGCTGTATGCGAAGCCACCGCTCCAGGGAGCCCACATCAGGGCTCTGTTCTCTCCCCGGCTGTAGCATGGCCCAGAGGCAAAACACAAGCGAGTCTCACCCACCCACTTTGCTAAGTACTGCATAAGGGGGGGGCTTTTTCCTTTTTATGTTTATCTCTTCCAATTACATCCTCTAGATCTGGGGTCCCCAACCCCCGGGCTGCGGACTGTTACAGGTCCGTGGCCTGTTAGGGACTGGGCCGCACAGCTGTAGATGAGCGGCAGGCAAGCAAGTGAAGCTTCATCTGCATTTTCAGCCCCTCCCCGGTGCCAGCGTCACCACCTCCGCTTCTCCTCAGCTCATCGGGCATCAGATTCTCTTAGGGGTGCAAACCCTGCTGTAAACTGCTCACGTGAGGGATGCACGTTCTGACCCCTCCTCGGTCCGTGGAAAAATTGTCTTCCACAAAAGTGGTCCCCAGTGCCAAAAACTTTGGGGACCGCTGCTGTAGGCTGATCTTGGTGGCCTATTGGGAAGCCACTTAAACTAAGTAAAGCACGGGAACAAAGCCCTGCTGGTCACTCCCAGATTTCTCTTCAGCCTACTGCGCCTGTTGCTAAGCTGGTTGCCTTTTGTCCTGCTGGGAAACTAACCTGACACACACACACACACACACCCCAACCAGTCTATAGGTCCTCAGTGGCCGCTTTGTGCTGGTGCAGCCCCACTCCAGACTCACTGGAGATGTGGGCAGTGCTGCCCCTCCCCCAGACCACTTTGGCAGCCCGGCCAGCGCAGCTGCAAGTCAGAGGGACGCAGGGCCCACCTCGTGCTCCAGGGAGCTATACTCGCCCTCCGTCTGCTCACGGATGATGACCAGGTCCAAGTTGTTGTGCCGAGTTTTATAGCCAGGCAGGCTGCTGACGTGAACCACGTTGGCAAAGAGGTCAAGCTTGCGCCTGCAAGGAGGAGCCGGGGGTGGGTTACGTCCAGCATCCAGGCCTGGAGCTCCCTGCTGCCACCCCCCCACCCTCCGGACCCAAAGGGCTGCAGAGTGGACGCAAGGGGGGGAAAGGAAGCTGCAGTTCCTTCCCCCCCCCAGCGACCTACCTGAGCCTCATGTCGTAGGAGGCCAGCTCCCCTTTGTACTCCATGGGGGTGTGGATCTTCCCTGCAAGGAAGGCCAAGAGAGGCCAGGCGGTGAGGGGGGGTGGGTGGGAGAAAGGGTCGCCCAGCCTCCTTCTCCTGCCCCCCCCCGCCCCCTGTGCCCCCCACCCCGGCAGAAGACTCACCGATGAGGGCCACCTTGCTCTTCTCCATGGACTCCAGCACCTGCTCCAGGATCTCCTCCGAGGCCATGTTCTGCACCTCGCTCAGGTGGTGCTCGTCGAACTGCACCGGCACGCCCGCCACCTGCACGGCCCCGGGGGGGGGGCGAGAGCAAAGCTGGGACGGGGGAGGCAGGGCTGGAGGCCTCCGCGCACACACACACGCGCAAACACACACACACACACGCAAACACACACACACACACGCAAACACACACACACACACGCAAACACACACACACACAGCCCCTCCCAAGGGCGCCCCCGCAGCTCCCCCCAGCCTCACCTTGAAGACCTCCTTGACGGAGTGCATCAGCTCCGGTCCCACGCCGTCCCCCGGCAGCAGCGTCACCGGGAAGGCCCGCTCCGCCTGCAACGAGCCGGAGGGTCGCAAGGGGCCGCCGCCAGAGGAGCCCCCTCCCCGCCCCCCGCNGGGGGGGGGGGATACAGGGCCAGGGAGCATCTCAGACCAATGAGCTATTAGCAAGATAATGATTATTTTTATTAATGTTATTGATGGAGGGATGGGGGGTTTATTTCAGGCCACGTATGGTTGGGTTATTATTGATTGTGGGAATTTACTATTTCATTTATATTTAACATGTTTCTGTTTTGGATGTACATTTCCCACCGCTGTGCCTCAAATGAAAACACATCTCAGACTTGGCTTCGACAGTCTTAATAAAATAAAATATAAAATAAATTACAACATAATAAATACCTTATAAAATAAGCCAATAAAACCCATTTCCATCAGCCCCATCTCGGGAGCCAAATGTTCCTGAGCATCTGAAGGAGCTCTGAGGGGCTTGGTGTTGTCTCTCTTGGGGAAGAGAGACCCCCACCCTCACCTTGGGCTTTAAACTGGCAGTTTTCACTTGGTGATCCAGCAGCTTTTTTACTGGGTGAAAGTTCCAGCCTTTCCTGGAGAATTGCTACCTGCTGGGTCCGGGGTGGGGCTCTTTGGGCAACCAGGGAGCCGCCCTCCTACCCCCCCCCCCCCATGGAGGCTGGAGAAGGTTGGGTCCCTTCCGGAAATCTGCCTAGGGCTGGCTGTGCATTTTCCCCAGACTGGGAATCCACACAGGGCTTGAGTCAAAGGGGATTCAGTTGTTAATGACCTCCATTGTTGGATGGGGGCTTCTGATTCCTCCCCCCCAGGACAGAACTTCCCCTCAGCTCTTGAAAGGGCCACTTTTAGCCAGAATCCCCCATGGCCTTGAGCAGCCCTCTCTGGGCATGCAGCCCCCCCCTCCACCCGCCCTCCAGGGAAGCTTAATGGCCGCTAAGAATCCAGGGTACTTCACACCCTCCCTCTGATGAGCTTTGGAGGAGGCAGCATTAATGATTAAATTTACTGGCCCATTCACGGAAAGTGGATAATTATCCAGAGGACAAAGATAAGTGGCTGATTGGAACAAAGCAAGAAATAATTACTTCAGAGAACTTTTTCCCGGCAGTGTGAATTGAAATAAAATCCAGACATTTCATCACTTATACTATTGTTGTTTGTTACTTTAGTTAGGCTGACCTTCTAATTAGCCTGAGCAATTAAGTAATGCCACGCAATGCAAATTCGGGAAGGGCCTTCTGCAAAACTAACAGGGCAGTGAGGAACCTTAAGATTGTGCTTTGTGATCATAGCCCACTTTGTGATTATGAGATAAGCTTGCATGGAGCACTCTTTAAGACGATTGCTGGTTTAATGTAATCACGGCCAGCATCCCCTGCCTTGAGCTGCGCTGTCATCGCCACCTTTGGTGCCCAGGTGGGAATCGGGTGCCTCATTCCATGGGCTGCCCCACTTCACTCCCTCCCTGTTGTGTTTTATGATCTGTCCTCAAGGGCCTCATTTCTCTACAATTTTTGTTCTAATGAGATACTTAACGACCCCTCCATCTCTTCATCCAAGGCAGCAGTTAAGATGAGGGCTGCAACCTCACCCTAAGTATCCAGATCAACCTTCTCAGTATTTTATGCAGATATTGAAGGGGGGGAGGCAGTCAAGGCAAATACTTGCCCGCTTACTCCCCAAAGCTCCTGTCATGGCGGTGGCAGATGTTCCCTCACGGGGAAATGGGGTTTACTTTGAAAAGGCCTTCTATGCCTCCTTAAGCACTGTGTGGTGCTTAATTTATGGTTTTGCGGTGAAAAGAGCCAGGAAAACACCTGAAGCCAGCCAGCCCCCCCCCCC